GCTAATCCCTTCTCCCTGTCAAGAGACCTTGGTCAACTTGACTCTCAGGGCTGGACAACCAACACTTTGATTTGGGTTCTCTTTGGCAGGTTCTGGGTACCCATGAGGTCCCTCGGAGGAGTATCTCCTCAGTAAGTACCTGCCCCCCAGGGGCGTGTGTGCCTATATGTGAGTATAGTTGTCCCTATGTTGGGGGGTGCACAAGTTTGTGTGTGCAATTGTGTGCACATGCAGTGTGTGTATACACATATGCATGCACAAGTGCCTGTGCCTCTTTGCTCCCTGCCTTTGTGTCCTTCCCTCTGAGGCACAGTCTCCAGAGGTTACTCATACCTCACCCTTCCCTAAGTTGTGCTAGACATTGTCCCTAGGGAAAAGACCCTGGTTTCTCCATCACAGCCTTGTTCTTCCAACCTTGGCTGATCCATGTCTTCTTCCTTTCTGTCTTCCCTCTAGCAACAAACAATTGTGAGTATTCTTCTTTTCCTCTGAGTTAGATTTGGGGGGGTGTTTTAGTTGCTTTGGGTGGGCCTGGGGGCTGCTGCTGACCAGGGACTCAGATGATCAGTCCTGTTTGGGATGGGGGTACACCAAGCTAGAACCACAAGGTTGGCCAGTGTAGTGTATGGAATCATTGCTGGTGGGAAGAAAGGAACTAGCTTGAGCCCCTGGGTGCTGAGCCAGTGAGCATGTGGGAATATCCAAAGGCCCGTCTTTACCCTCTCCATCTTTCCAGCCTCCGTCGGCTAAGTATGGTGGACGGCACACAGTGACTATGATTCCAGGAGACGGCATTGGGCCAGAGCTCATGTTGCATGTTAAGTCCGTGTTCAGGTATGGAGACCTCAGGCCACTTTTTCTTGCCTTGACCTCTAGAGAAGGTTGTGCCCTAGCTCCAACCAGAGGGCCCTGAGAACTTTGTCCCAGTAAGGGCAGTGAGCCCAGAAGCCACTAGCCAGGACTTTTCCTGAGCATCTAGCAAGGTGGTGACAAGAAAGCCTCCATTCCTACCAGGCTGGCTTGATATGGGAGGGTGGCAGTCCTGCTCACTGCATTGTAGAGCTCAAGCATGTCCTTTTCATTTGGCGTGGGTGGGCCTAGTCCCCTCTCACCCAGAGCCTGGGCATGTTTCCTGGAAGAGGTATGGGAGGCCCTGAGCCAGCCACCCTGACCCAGCTCTGTCCCAGGCATGCATGTGTGCCAGTGGACTTTGAAGAAGTGCATGTAAGCTCCAATGCCGATGAGGAGGACATCCGCAATGCCATCATGGCCATCCGTCGGAACCGTGTGGCCCTGAAGGGTAAGCTCAAGGGCCAGGTAGGGTTCTACACTGAGTTCTTTTATGTCCAAACCTTTTTTTGGGGTGGGGGGTGTACCAGGGATTGAACCCAGAGGCACTTAACCACTAAGCCACCGCCCAGCCCTTTTTATTTTTTATTTTGAGACCAGACCTTGCTAATTTGCTGAGCTGAGGCTGGCCTCAAATTTGTGATCCTCCTGCCTCAGCCTCTCGAGTCACTGGGATTACAGGCCTGCACCACCATGCCCAGCCCAAGCTGACTCTTGTGAGGACCCATGGCTCCAATTTTGGGATTTTTCTGGCTAGAGAGGACTCTTGTGCTTAGAGTCTGAATAGAAACTTCTGCATGCCTGCTGATGCTGTGACTCTGATGAGGATTCTGGTAGCCCCTCCTGAGTCTGTCTTGGTTGGGCTCAGGTCCTCTGCGTTCTTCAGCTCATCATCTGCTCTGTAAGGATATTGTGAGTAGTGATGAACCAGGTGGAGCCATAGGTGCTGGTAGTCAAGTTGAAGAGTATACATGGCAGCTACAGAGTGCCCTAGGCACTCTGGGTGAAGGAAGTCTGGGCAGGGGCAGATCAGAGAAGCAGGTGTTCCTGTTGGGCTGTCAAAAAGGCTTTTCTGCTGGTTAACCTCTGTCTACCTTCTCTTGGTGGCTGCTGGCCTCTGGGACTCACTGGGCCCCTGCTTCCATTCTGGGTGCCTAGGCCACGGGACAGAGCCTGGCGTTTTCCAGGCAGACCCTGACTGCCCCTGAGCCCAGGAGTAATCCCATTTAAAGTCACTCTGATGGTTTTGGCTTGGCCAGCCAGCCTGCTGATAAGCAGGAATGGTCACTTTCTATCAGGGCAGATCCTGGGTAGGGAGTGGTAGGGTCTCCTTGCCAGCTGCCAATTGGATTTATTCATTCATTTAGTAAATATTTACTGAATGCCTGCTATGAGCCAGATGCTTTTCTGGGTCCTCAGAATCCATTGGTAAAAAACCACACATGCATCTATCCTCATTTGGAAGTTACATCCTAGTGTTCTGTGAAGTATTCTGATGCTGAAAGCCATCTTTTCCTCCAGTTGGAGCAGCCTTCAGTTCACATCCCCTGGGCCAAGCAAAGGAATTTGGGGCCAGGAGCCCCTCTCCAACCTGCCTGTCTTGTTTTTGTTCTGTAGGTAACATCGAAACAAACCATAACCTGCCACCATCTCACAAATCCCGAAACAACATCCTTCGGTGAGAGCCAAGTACATGGGGTGGTGGCTCAACGAAGCCCAGGGTTGGCTGTGCCAGCAGAGTCATACCTCCAGCCAGCTGCCATTCAGGCCTAGCCTTCCTCTTTCTCTGTCCCCCTTGTAGCACAAGCCTGGACCTCTACGCTAACGTCATTCACTGTAAGAGCCTGCCAGGAGTGGTGACCCGTCACAAGGACATAGACATTCTCATTGTGCGGGAAAATACAGAGGGCGAGTACAGCAGCCTGGAGCATGAGGTGCGCAAAACCAAGTGACCGGGGCTGGGGCTGTAGCTCAGTGTAGAGCATTTGCCTAGCATGTGTGAGCACTGGGTTCAATCCTCAGCACCACATAAAAATAAATAAATAAAATAAAGGGTATTGTGTCCAACTACAGCTAAAAAAATTTAAAAACAAAACAAAAAACAGGTGACCCTGTTGGATTATGGAAATCTGGGGATATGCTCAGTCAGGGTCAATGTTGAAGAGAGACCTTAAGGAACCACGAAGAGGTGGTCCCCAAAGGACAAGGGTTGTACCTAAGGGAGAAGCCAGAAGTACTCAGCAATAGGGCTATGTCCCATAGCACCCCCCATTGTGCTGTTCACTAATCTCCTGGCCCTTTCTCAGAGCGTGGCAGGAGTGGTGGAGAGCCTGAAGATTATCACCAAGGCCAAGTCCCTACGCATTGCCGAATATGCCTTCAAGCTAGCCCATGAGAGTGGGCGCAAGAAAGTGACAGCTGTGCACAAGGCCAACATCATGTATGTAACCTGATCCTCCTACCCACTCTTTAGTCATCCCTCAGGCAGTTGGAGTGGCCTGTTTTCAGGGACTCGGGGTCTAGGACAATGTCTACCCTCCAAGGGTCCACACCCAAGAGTGTATCCTACTGTCCCTGAAGTCTTTGGCTTCACCACAGAACACACTTAGTGGGACAAAATTATGCACATTTTGCAAATGGAGGGGTAGGTTAGAATTTAACCTTCAGGCCCTCTACATGCCCTGTTCCTCTGTCTGTGATGATGGATCAAGCTGGTGTCCTTTGTCCCTCCTCATCTCCCTCCAGGAAACTGGGTGATGGGCTCTTCCTCCAGTGCTGCAAGGAGGTGGCTGCCCGCTACCCCCAGATCACCTTTGAGAACATGATTGTGGACAACACCACCATGCAGGTAGTGGATCCACCTAACTCCACAACTTCCTGCCCTGGGCACCCTGGGCTTCTCACACTTAGCCCCCTCCTTGCTCCACAGCTAGTGTCCCGGCCCCAGCAGTTCGACGTTATGGTGATGCCCAATCTCTACGGCAACATTGTTAACAACGTCTGCGCAGGGCTGGTTGGAGGTCCAGGCCTGGTGGCTGGGGCCAACTATGGCCATGTGTATGCTGTGTTTGAGACGGTGAGTGCCTGGATGCCACCATCTTTCTCTTACAGCAGCCTTGTTGGATTGTTAATTCACACCCCTCATAATGGTGTGTAAACATGAGCACTATCTAAATCCCAAATATTTCCAGCCCCCCCCAAAAGAAAACACTTCATCCATGAGCAGTCTCTCCTCATTTCCTCTCCCCAGCCCCTGGCACCCCTTCATTTGCTTTCTATCTAGAGTTATGCCTCTGCTAGGCACGTCACATGAGTGGAATCATCTGCCCCTACGCCCTTCATGTTTTCCATCCACTCTACTTTGTCCTTCCTTTTCCAGGCTACAAGGAACACAGGCAAGAGTATTGCCAATAAGAATATTGCCAACCCCACAGCCACACTGCTAGCAAGTTGCATGATGCTAGACCACCTCAAGTAAGTGATGTCCCAGTACCCAGCCATGAGCCTCCTGGCCAGCCCTCTAGGCCATGACAACCAAAGTCTGGCTCTTCCCTCTCCTAGGCTTCATTCTTATGCCACCTCCATCCGCAAAGCTGTCTTAGCATCTATGGACAACGAAAATGTAAGGCTCCTCTTGTCCCTTCCTGGCCCCATGCTGTGGCCTTCCTTCCTCTAACCCATGTTGAGCTGCTGTGACCAACCGGAGAGGCTGAAGTCAGTGACCAGCATTGACTGTGTTTCCCAAGGGGAGGGTGGTACCAGGTAGGCTTCTGGGCCTTAGCTGGTACCCCTGCCCTCCTGGTGGCATTTCCAGGCCCTGCAAGCTGCAGGAGACAGTGGGCAACCCTAATTCACCCTGAGGTGGGGGCAGGTGTTGACATGCCTGATGTACCTAAACTTCCCATCTTCTACAGATGCACACCCCAGACATCGGGGGCCAGGGCACTACCTCCCAAGCCATCCAGGACATCATCCGCCATATCCGCATCATCAACGGCCGGGCTGTGGAGGCCTAGGCTCTCCCTGGGGCTGTCAGCCCATTCCTAGATCCGCCTTCTCACTCCAGCACCCCCAGTCAGCTTGGTAGGCAGACCCCAAAATAAACCCACTTCTGCCCCAGAACTCAGCCACGTGACTCCCTTACTCCAGGATACTGGTATTTCTGTTCACGCTTTATTAAGAAAGAAACACATACTTTCCCACCAGAGGATCTTCCAGGAGAATTGTGGGCAGAGAAGTTCTGAGACATGGGCCTGGCCCCAGCATTTCTCTCTCCTGCCATGGGTGGGTAAAAAAGCTGGCATTCAGCAGGGTAGGAGAGGGTAGCTCCTACAGGGTGGTGAGAGTCACCCCACTTTCCCTTAAGGCACTGAGAGTTAGGGGCAGAGCCAGGCCCAACCCTGTTGCCTACAGCTACAGTGGGACCTAGGGGTTGAGCCAGGGATGCTGGAGGCAGTCGGCGGCGCTGGCCCGCTTTTCAGGGATGTACTCCATCATGGGCAGCAGGAAGGCGCTGAACTGTGTTGCCTGTTCCAGGGGCCACTCATACTTCTCCATGAGCACCTCATACAGACCCCAGTGCTTGAGGTTGTGGATGTGCCGCAGCTCTCCTGGGGGGCCAGGCAGCATTAGGCACTTGGACTCTGCTAGGAAAGTCTCTGGCTTTCTGGGAACCAGTGTTCCTTCTATGTAAGAACCCAGGGTCCATGTCCCACCCTTTCCCCAGCCAGGTGGCCTGAGCCCACTTGGTCCCCACCTCTTCGGTTGAAGAACTCTCGAGAGTAACGGCCTGACAGAGCAAAGGCTGGGGGGATGTCACCTAGAAGCTCCACGATGTGAGCAATGTGGTCTGTGGGCAGAGAGGAAGTTGGCTAGTAGGCAGGTGGGCAGGAGGCCCCAAGGCCCCAAGGCTGAGCCCAGGGCCTGCCTCCCCTACCCTCATCACGACTGTAGTCTTCTCCTGAGTGAGGCTCAAACAGGTAGTCACCAGTGGCCAGCTCGAAGGCCTGGAATGAATGGGGAAGGTGAAGCTGCTGGCAGGTAGACTGGCCCTGGGCGTGAGGGCAGCCCAGTCAGCGTACCATGCATGCTGTGCTCCAGATGTCTGCCGGGGGCCCATACTCAGCACCGATCAGTACCTCCACAGCCCGGTACTGCCGAGTTTGGATGTCTTCAGTGAAGTGCTTGTGCTGGAGGCAACGGGATCCCTGGGGACAGGAGCTGGGGCCCAGGATGGCCTGCCCCATAACCCCCAGTCCTACCTCTGGTTCATGCACCCAGGAATTTTGTGGAGCCTACTCTGATCCTTAGGGTCCCCAGGTACGCCAGAATATGTATATATATATGTGTGTGTGTGTGTGTATATACACGCACGTGCGCGCGCGCGCGCACACACACACACACACATATTTTCATCCCCTCCTGGTGGGCTGAGGCTGGATCCCTTCCCAGTGACCTCTTGCCATGGGCCCATTTCTGCTGACTGTGCAGGACCCTGCTGGTTGGGGCCAGCAGCAGGAAGCAGCCCTTAGCTCTGTTTGAGGGTACTGCTATGTGAGCCCATGGCTATACCAATCGGTCCTGTGCCCCACAGGCCCAGTTAGGGCTCCCCAAGAACAGCTTGCCTCCCCAAGGTGCTCATACCACCCAGCAGGCGTTGCCCAGATCTGCAATCTTGATCTTGATCTTGTCTGCATTTTGGGGCTCCAGGGGGTTCACCAGGAGGTTTGAGGCACCAAATGGTGCTGGGAATGAAAAGGGAGAGAGAAGTTGAATGGCTCAGCTCCTCCTGTCCCTGCCTGCCCACTGCCTCCTGTTCCCCACACTTACTGCTGGGTGACAGGAGTCCCCCTGTTTCACGCTGATTGGACGAGCCTGAAAGGATGGAGCAGGAGGCCGGCGAGAACAGGGAGCCTGAGAAGCCAGAGGTCTGCGAGCTGGGGCTGAGACTGCGGTCACCCCCAGGGGCAGGGGAGGTGGAGGCTGGGGAGGTGCCAGCCCTGGTGCCCCCAGGATGGCAGCCTGAGGAAGAGGTAGAGCCGCTGCCCCCCTCTAGTCTCGATCCAGAATCTGGGGAGATGGGGCAGAGGTCCTCATGAGCAGACAGCCGATGGCCTGTGCACACACTTGGCAATCCAGTGCCCTGCAGGCCACTCACCCTCAGCCTGGGCTGCAGCCTCCATGGCCTCCAGCCTCTGTAGGTCTCGCAGCCGCTCCTCCAGCAGCCGCTTCTGCTGTTTCCGCTTGCGCCTCATCTTCTTCCTCTTATTTTTGGACAGCTTACCAGTCTGCCGCCAGAGTCAGGGTCACCCCCAGGGTTCCCATCCCCCAGCCAGTCTGACAGTGGAAGCTTCCCTGTCCAGCCCAGAACCCAGGAGTCCCCTGGATGGCAGAATATGGTGCCACTACCCTCTGTTCACCCCTTGACCTCACCCATCTCCTTACCTCCCCTCCTGTCCCTGCACTTATTCCCTAAAGCTCTGTAGGTTGGAGTGGACATCATGGGCCTGCCCCTAGACTGTTCTCTCTCCCCTTCCAGGCCCAGCAAGGGTGGCCTGAAGTAGCCAACAGAGGAAGATGCAGCATCTTTCCACTGAGGCAGTGTTGGGCCCAGTGACCACAAAAGGCAATTTGGAGTACATGACCCCCCTGTGTATCACTGGTACCTGGGCCACCCAATGTTTTTGGCCAGCTCTGAGGAGATGGCCTCCCCTGACATGGATGGGGAGAGGGCACAGGTAGAGAGGAGTGCCCGAACTTACCAAGACCTCCTGGGGGGCAGTGCTGACTGGGGATGCAGGTGGGGTGGAAGGAGAAAAATAAGTGCAGATTCAGTCAGGGACTGAGTGCCTAGAGGCCTGGACCCGGCCCTGCACATGCTTGTGATACCTGTGGAGTGGGATGGGGGTGGGGCCCCTGACTGCTGCCACTCTGTGGCCTCTGCTGCCAGGCGCCTGATGTAGGCATCACCCACACACAGCAGGATGTTTTCAGGCTTGATGTCCGTGTGGATGATCTTACATTTGGTGTGGAGGTAGTCTAAGCCATGCAGCACCTGGGAAGAGCCACATCTGAACTCCAGCATCCCCTCCCAGGCTAGGCCAGGCAGCTGGGGGGATAGCACTCACCTGCCTCACAATGCTCTTCACACAGGGCACAGGCAGACCCTGGTAGTTGGACTTGATGATCCATTTGAGGAGCTGGTGGCCCAGGACCTCCAGCACCATGCACACATCTGGGCACTGGAGTGAAGGGTGGCCAGCGAGCACACAGCTGGGGCACATGCCTTGCCTACCCTCAGCTGAGAGGGGAGAGCAACAAAGCTCAGGCTCCACAGAGGTGGAGGAGGCAGTGCTTGCCATAAGCAGTCTTGGTGGCCACCCCTGTCTTGGTGTTATTATTTACAGTGTCCCTGTCACCATCAGAAGTGTGCCAGTGGGATGGTATATTTTATGGTCATCCTAGAGATGGCACTGGAGGAGCAGATATGCAGTCCTCAGGCTAACCCTACTCCTATGCAGAGATAGGCCTTTTTGGGTAACCCCAGCTATTTGGGTGTAATTCAAATCCACAGATCATCAGCAAGCTGGTTACCCACTCTCATGCCCCCCATAGCAATACAAATGCCCAAAGGGGTGACACTATTTTGTAGTGTTCCTGGGAGAAATAAAGCCCTTTGGTACAGATCAGCAACTGAGGCCCTGGTAGTTAGGAAGGCAGAAGCTGGCCCTTTGCTGCTCTGCTCATCCTACAAAGGATACGAACTCCATTCACCCCCGAGATCCTGAAGTCATCAATGAGCTGAACGATGGTCTCTCTTTTGGGGTCACTGGGGTCACTGTCCCGGACCTGGAACAAAAGCCAAGGGGCCATAGATGCCTTCAACCCACCCCTCACCAGTTGCTCCCCTAGGCAGTCCCTGGATGGAAGTACAGGGTTTCTGGCCCCACTTTATGCCCTAGCTGGGTCCCACTGGAAGGAAGAAAAGACAACCCCTTCACCCCATGTGATCTTCAAGGTTCTCCTACTGCAGAGCCAGCTGGAGCCTGTGCCTCTTGTTGTCCTGTCCCACTTAGCAGAGCCCCAGCAGGCCTTGCACCCACATTGCCAGGCCCAAGGCAGTTCCCAGGAAGCCAGAGCGGTAGGGAGGTGCCTCACACATTTCAGGAGCTTGATCTCATCCACAGCTGTCTCAGTGTAGTGCCCAGCACTCTTCACTACTTTCAGGGCTACGAAGCGCTTGCGCCTGCAATACCAAGACCCTTGTCAGCTGCCGGCCATAGTGGTGGCCTCAACCAAGCCTAAAACAGGATCCCAGCAAGCACCGGGTCCTGGGGACGGAGGGGCCACTCACTGGATGTCCCAGCAGAGCCAGACGGTAGAGAAGTGGCCCCAGCCCAGTTTTCGCACCACGTGGTACCGCCCATTGAACAGGTCACCGATCTTCACTGGGTAGTAGCCACCTGCCAAAGAGAGCCAGTAGATCATCGTGGGGGTGTCTCCCTTCCTGTTCCCCAGGACAGCCATCCCTACCAGCCACCCAGCACACGTAAGCCCAGCCTTCAGGCACCCTTTTCCTTCCAGGTTGACCTGAGCTCCTTCATTGGCAATCTGGCCACATGTACCCAAGATCGGCCTCACCCTTGCAGTAGTCCTTAGGGTCTTCCTGTTCCTCGTCATCAGAGCCCAGGAGCCCCTGAAGCATTGGAGGTGCTGGTGTAGCTGGGGCTAGTTCAGAGCCTGAGGACTCAGGCCCACAGGAGGCTTGTGAGCTGTGGGTGGAATGGGCGGGCAGTGAGTGCTTGAGGAGCCAGGGACCCTGGACGGCTGGGCTAAGCCCTACCTGCTGCTGCTGCCGCCACTGTCGCCTCCACCGCCGCTGCCGCCCGCGCTGGCGCTCATCCCAGCCTTGTGGCCCGCGGCTCCGGTGCCCTGGGCGGCTGCTCCTGTGGGGCCTGGCTCTGGCCCGGGCATTTATAACCTCGGCTGCTGATCTCACTCGCCTTTATAAATAGCCTCCCAGCTGCTCAGCTGTGGGCAAGGTATGTGGTGCGGGGAGGGGGCGGCGCGGCTGACGGTGGCCCGGAGAGTCCGGTCCCCAGGCTGAGGTCCCCTGCTTCACCCACGCCCCAGGGGAAAAGGGGGCCGCTGTGCCGGGTACACATAGAGACTCAGTCCCTAAGCCGAGTCCCCATGCCCCAGGACCAGCTGAGGGGGGCCTTTACATGAAGACAAAGCAATCCAGAGCCCAGACCAAGGCGCCTACACTCCAGGGCTGGCTGCTGGGGGCCTCCCATGAAAGGATGTAGTGACCAGGTCCTCAGGCTGAGCTCCACCCCTTCATACTGCAGGCCACCAGCAGTGCTTTTGGAACTTTTGGAGCATTCTGGGAGTCCTGGAGGTGACCTCTCCCAGTCCTACTAGGAACCCATTCTCTGCCCACTCCTAGTCCTGTTTCCAGTTTTTTATAGGCCCCTAATAGAGTGGGAGCCCAGATCTCCCCTGAGTGTTGTGTCTCTGGGGTCCCCCTGACTGAGGGAGTCAGGGGCGGGACCTGAGAGTGACTCATTCCTCCTCCAGAATTGTACCACTGTGGACTGCATGACCTCCCTTCCAGCTCCAGGGCTGGCTACCTGGCTTTCCTGTTTCTGCCAACATTTGTCAGGTGCCCACTGTGGGCCAGCACTGACCTGTCTACCTTGGGGAACAAACAGCCCACAGCCACTGCCCAGGGGCTGGAAGGCAACAGAAGGAGCCTGTGGCCTTAAAGCTGCATCCTGAGAGACCAAGAGGAATTTGGTCCCCAGAAGTATCCAGGGCAGTACAGAGCACATCTATGGCTGAGGCCTGCAGACAGAATGTGCTGGAGACCTCCACATGCTGGCCATGCTTTAGCATGGCTAGGAGCTGGGGGGATAAGAGGCTTTGGTGGCTGAGGGGCCCTGCCTGGAATCTGTGGGTGCCAGTGTAGGGTTCCAGTGAGGCTGACAAGCACTTTTGCTTTTAGAAAATGCACTGGATGCTTCTAGAAAAGAATAGAAGGGCTAGACTGGAGGTAGGAGGCAAGTTTGGGACTGCTGGGGCTGTCCGCAAATGAAGTGGAGGGGGTTGGGCAGTGACAGTGCTTATTCGAGATGAGAGACGTTTGGTCCAGTGTCCTGTCAGGAAAGAACTGATATGGGCAAGACAGGCATAGATGGAAGGGGCAGCTTTCTTGTGGGCCCTGGGGAGGTTAGGAAGGGAATGGGGAGGGCAGAGCCCTCCTGGAAGGCCTAATAACTTCTTTCCCCTTGGGTAGCACTCACAGCTATGGGGCCATGGGGGTACCAGCCCAAGGAGCATGAAGTTGACTCTTGCAGCCACTGCTGGGGATTGGACTTTTTTTTTTAAAGACGTATTTCTGTTTTATTTCCAGATTCTCCAGTAAGCAAATAAATACAGTTGGAGAAGGGGTAGGGATTGCTATAAATTAGAAATAAGCCCTGTGGTGAGGCAGTGGGCACTCAACACCACCCAAGTTCTGCGGGCCCTCCTCAGTCAATGGCTCGGTTCAGGGACCATAAGGTACTGTGGTGATGTGTTCTCTAAGCTCACAGGTCAGTCACTTTGTTTTCCACCAGAGCAGCAACCTGCTGCAGGCGGCAGGCTAGCTGCATCTTCTGGCCCACGGGGTCCTCCTCCAAGGCACTGATGATCTGCCAGGGCAGAGGAGGGTATCCACCTGAGGCCCCACCCCTGTGATCATTGACCCGGGGCTGCCTAGGAGTTCAAGAAACACTGCTGGGGCCTCCCGGGAAATCCAGAGGAAAGTCAAGCCCATGACTCAACCTGGGCCCTTCCAGCCAAGGCTGGCATCCCTTCCTTCCCTCTGCCTGGATTAAGCCACCCCCAGGGACATTCTGTGAGCCTCTGTCTTGGCTTCACTTCATTCCAGGTACCTGCCTCCTCCCCTCCATAGTGTTCTGGGCCTCACCTGGTCATGATACCTGTGGATGTGGTTGTAGAGTTCCTGCAGAGCCTCCAGACAGTGGGAAACAGAGGTGTAGTTCTGGGGACAGCATGTAGCGGGCAGTGAGGCCTCAGCCCTGGTCTCAAGCCCCAAGGCTCTCCCCTTGCTCTGCCAATGAATTCCCCCAAGATATGGAGGGCAGTGCCCCTGGGCCATGTCTCACCCCAGAAAGCTCAGCCAGAGCAGAGTTCATCTCCTGGTAGCTCACCGGAGGGCTCTGGCGAATGTCTGCGTAGTATCTGGAGAAGCGCACAGAGTTAGGGGCGGGCACCCTCCAGGGCCTCCCCCCAGCCGTAACGGCTTCGACACTTACTTCTCCACCATCTGCTTATAGCGAGGGATCTCCCGGGCATAGAGCAGTTTGTTCACTGGGGAATCCTTTTCAAGACAGAGGAAGGGCTAGGAGTGAGCAGGCGTGGGGACCCAACAGCACCCCTGCCTCTGGACAGGGCTCACTGCTCCATTCCACCCGGCTCAGGCTCTGCACAGGGCACCGTGGCTTCCCCCACAGGGTTTTCCTCTCCAGTCCCTGCCAGCTGGCGCTGGCTACTGCAACCTCACCCGGCCCACTTTATGCTCCGAGAGGGTACAGGAGTCGATGAAAGTCTGTGCAATGACCGCCAGGATGGCATCCACGTTGTCCGACACCCGCACGTCAAACAGCAGTTGTGGGTTCTTCAAGGCATTCACCCAGAACCGCAGCAGGAGGCTGGGGACACAGGCCAGGTGTGGGGATGAGACCGGGTCACTGTGGCCTCCTCCTCCATGCACTGCAGCCCACCCTTTCCATGCAGATGTCACTGGAGCCATCCATGCAGGCAACCAGGGACCCCAGCCTTGCTCTTCTCTAGGAGCTGTCCTCATGGCCCAGGTGACCTTCCTGTGAGTCCATGCTGGGGGGTGAGGGGTTGTTGAAAATCAGGCTGGGTTCCTGTCTTGAACCTGCTGTCCTGTTCTGGGAATGTCCTTGTTCCTCTGGGATTCAATGGATCAGTAGCAATAAGTAGGGGGTCGACAGGAAAGGCACCTGTTTGTCTTCCAGATGTGCAGGGTCTCTGGGTCCTCAATGTCATGCTTTTCTGCCAGCTCATCCAGGAAGTCAAACAGGTACTTGACAGCAATGGGCACAGGCCGGTTCACGCTGAGAATGGCTTGGAAGGTGTCATCCACAAACTTCTGCAGTGTACCCTGTAAGCAGGACAAGAGGGCCCTTCTGCCTTTCTAGGACCATTCCTGCTCCCAAGCCTCCCCTATGGCCTGGCTCCCCTGGCTACACTAACCTTCATGGACAGCAGGCGGGTGAGGTAGATTTCTGGGATGGCCTTGGCCCGGGCCCGTTCCCGTTCCCGTTCCCGTTCCCGGAGGCTGCTACGCCGTGCCTTGGCCCCTTCTGGCTCCTCGGTGGCCTTCACTAGGTGCCAGAGGCGCACCCCGCCATCGTCACCATCCTCCAGCATGGGAATGTCTAAGGGCATGGGAACCTGGCCTCAGTCCCATGCCCCTTCCCCCATCCTGCACTAGTGGCCTGGGAGGTGCCGTGTGCTCCCTGCTCAGCCTGACACCTCATGGCTCTAGAACTTCCAGGCCTTGGCTCAACCTGGAGCTTTGGCTTGCCTGCTGAGCAGGTGGGGCAGGCAACCCAGGCAAGGGAGCTGACACGACCAGGACTCCTTCCTGCCCAGCTTTGGGCTCTGTGAACCTAGCCTAGTGTGGACTCCAGTCCCCTGGTGCTTCTGGGGCAGATAGGTGTGTCTGGGCCTGAGGAACTCACCTTCTCCTGAGGGGCAATTCTGAGCCAGGCTCTGGGAAACAGCGCCACCATTGTGCAGCTGAGGGATGAGCCCCACTGTTGCTCCATCTGGGACCTGGTGGGGAACAGGGAAGCAGAGTTTGGTCCCTTTACTGCCATCTGATTCCTAAGGCAGGGACCTGTCCCCTACTCCCAACCAACTTGCCCTGTCCCTGCCCACCCAGCACCTTGTAGTGCTGTAGAGTATTGAGTCTCTTCCAGTGGTTCTGAGTCACTGAGGTCAAGTCCTCGTCTGACAGGGTTAGGTGACCAGCCAGGCCTGAGCGCCACTCTGGGGAGACCCAGGGAAGCCCATCAGCCCACAACATGTTTCCCATCTGTAGTAAGGCAGAGCTGAGTGGCTATATGTGGTGGAGGCAGTAGGGATGGGGGAGGTGGGGCTGTCTCTCTCACCAAGGTCTAGGGCATGCACTGAGGGCCTCTGGGAAAAGGGGGTGCCTTTGTAGACTTGGTCCAACACCTTCTCCTTGACTTGGGTGATGGTGTCTGTGTCAAGCACCCGGGCTGGCAAACGCTGCATCTCGCTGCTCCCTACTGCGGCGCCAGCCCCAGGGCCCACAAGCACCATCAGTGTCAAGGGCCGGAATTCCACATCCTCCCGCAACAGGTGGCTGTCATTCAGGGTCCGTTTCGCCTTGCCTGTCACAGCATCCACAGGGCCCTTGTCCACCTGGTACTGGATGGCGCGGAAGAGCATGTACAGGGGCTCACCAGCCACTTCCTGCAACCATCAAGGTGGACCAGCATTGGCCACAGGGCCAGGATGCTCAGTGATGCCCAGCAGAGGGCATAGCAGGAATGAAAGGGGCCATCAGCACCCCAGAACAAGGATAGATGGACAGGTGGCTGCACTGGGGACCCCAGCCCTTTTCGCCTCTGCCTCTAATCTGGCCCTGGAAGGGGGTTGAGTCTTCCCCTTTCCAGAACTCCCTCTGGCTGAGCCTCACAGTAGGCCCACAGGACAGGGAGATAACTCTCATGACCCTCATTTGATGGCCCATCCTGAGTCCTGCACAAGGCCCCTGGGGAAAGTTAGGCACTGGTCAGAGAGGCTATAGGAAGGCAGCATCCCCCAAGAGCTGGGGGGCAGGAGAGTGCCATCAGGGCTGGGGGCAGGCTGCACAGTGACCCTCACCCTCAGGAAGGTATAGAGACAGATGGACAGCCAGTTGGTGAGCAGCTTCTCCACCATGGTCTCTGTCCTGTGGGGAGAAAGCCCCAGGTCTCCTATGAGAATGTCCTTCAACTCCTCTTCTAAATCCCTCCTGGCTCCACCACCCCAGGGCAGAGCCTGCCCAGGGTGGGGACAGATCACTAGTGAGCCCCTGTCCCTGCCACTATGCCCAGGTCAAGACCAACCTGCGTAGCATGAGCTTGGGGTTCTTGTGTACATAATGAGCCGCCAGGTCACCAAGCAGAGTCCTCATGATGTCGGTCAAGTACTCAAGCTTGCCATGCAGCACCAGGGACAGGAGCGAAGCTACGTGGCAGCGGTCCCTCTGGGAGAAGCCAGGCTGCTCCTCCAGGGTGTGGATGAGCTACGCAGGAAGCTGGTGTTCACTCTGGGAAGCCCCATGCATTCCTCCGCTTCTATGCTCACACCCCTCTCCCAGCCTGGCCTGGCCTGTCCCCAGCCCCACCTCTTTGCCCATAGAGGCCTTCTTCCCTGCCTGCCCCCAAGCACCCAAGAGGCCCTCACTGTGAGGAGGAAGAGTTTGCTGTTGAGCAGGTTGGAGAGCTGCGTGAGGCCCTGGCGAACAGTGGCACGGCGGCCTTCTTCCTCAAGCCCCTCGAGTTCTGGAAGCAGTGGGCAGCCACCATGGCCAGGAAAGAAGGCGCGCTCAGCGAATGTGTGGTAGTCCAGGAAGGGGATCCCACTGGCCTCAAGGTCGCTGCTGAGGTCTGTCATCTCAGTCATCAGGTCTGTAGGCCAAGAGCCACCAAGATGTGGGCTCAGGCCCAGTGGGCCCTCTGCCCCCCCTTCCCCGCCCCCACACACCTGTGAACTCCTTGCGGCACTGGTCACCCACACCTGTCTCCAGGTTCTCCAGCTGCACCAGCACCTTCTGGTAGTCCCGCAGGGCCTGCTTGCTCTTGTGCCTGCAGCCAAGGGCCACGTGTCAACCACAGCCCTAGGCCAGGATAGCCATCTACCCAGGTCCTGCCACGGGGCATCCTTGCCAGCAATGAAGAGGGAAGTTTGTGCAGGTTTGTACAGGGGGAGAGCCCTCCTCACCTGTACATGAGGGTGAGGAGGAGCACAGCGGCGATCAGCACGGCAGCACCCATGCCCAGGCCCACCTGGGCCTCCACAGGGAAGGTAGACATGGTGGGCTCCGCTTCATACTGGACGGGGCCCAGGGCCAGGCGCACGTTGCCCATCTGTACCTGAGGGTGTGGGGGCAGTGCTCCTAAGCACGG